CTTGTATTATGATAATAATTACAACATTTTTTGTTAATAATCCATCTCAAAATCCAGACATTAGATAGTTTCAGCTCATGAAAGGTTTTAAGCTCGTTCTCTACACTTAATCGACTATCTTTAGGTTTGGGACTGAAAATGTATTTTAGAACAAAATTTAAGAGACACAACTCAGAGATTGTGTTCAGTGTTTTCACTATTTTCTCAGTGTTTTTGATTTCACAAGGAAAGGGTAGACATTTTACATACCAAAAAGTTGCTCATTAAATGAGGAATCCCGGCTATATTCATCAGAAATCAAAGTTATGTAAGTGAAAAGAACACAAGTCATACCTTCAGTTCAATGCTCCCTCAGAGAAGATAAACCAGAATCCAGTGTTCAGTACAGTCTTAATCCAAATGTTCCTGCCAACACCAGAGCTCAGATTTATAAGGTTAATTTTGTAAATATTAACCCAGGATCACATTGACTTTATAACCCCACCAACATGAGTTGCAAAGGGTAAAGAGATGATTTACAACTCAGTCACCTTTGCCACACTTATAAGTGCACATGTGTCAGCAAACAACAAAAACATTGACGTGAAATGGAATTGAGCCAAAGATCCAGTAAAACCTGCAGGACAGCAATACTCCTGCACAAAGCTTTTTCAAAATAAAATGATGATATATTTTCTGTTTATTTACTTTATTTTGTCCACGCTTACCATTCAAAACTATGCGTGCATTTTTATATATTACTGCTTAATTTAGAAAAAATAAATAACTTAGTGCATATTGTTTATTGTAATATATTATTTGTGCCTTAGCCTATTTTTTGTGGCACAATAACATGAACAAGAGTGGACCAAACTTTGTGGCAGTACACTTATTATTCACATGAATTATTTGTCAGACCTCGTTGATTTGACAGAAAAACAGAATATGAACAGAACATGTTCACCTTGAATTTTTAAATAAACCAAAGGTTGACCTAAGTCGAAGGTTGTTGGCATCGTGGAACACTATATAGAACTGATACCACAGACAACAATGCCATAAAAATACAACATACACAACTCTGTATGATTGTTAAAACAGAAGTCTCACTTAAGATCTAAATTAGAAATCTTCATCTTTGTTTCCTCAGGATGATGCCAATCGTCTGTCCCTCCAAATTAGAGAACCAGGGCCTTTTCCCTCTCAGGGAAACAAACTTTTTAGGCTGAAGGTCTTTTTGCTGTGTTGTCTTTTATGTTGCCGCATCGTGACTGTAATCAGTGGGCTCAAAGTATGTATCGGCTGTGACTGTGTAACCACAAGCACGTCTCACTGTACTTTGCAGTGTTACATAACTCAACATCAGTTGGCACTTTTCAATTCAGAAGGGAGCTATGGATACTTTTGCCTTTTTTTCCGCAATCGCCTAAAAGCCTCCGAATTTTTTGAAGACTTTAAAAGGCTAACCAAATAAAATGTTGTTTCCGCAGTTTGGAGCAGAACACAGGAAAAAACAAGCAGTTTGTGACTCCCACCAAACCACAAACCCATCGACACAACTTCCTTATAACTCTCTGGTCCCAGTAACTACCAACAAGCAGCTTCTTCCTTAATTCAAAGCACCCACAGGGGGGGACTGTGTGTATAATTCACAGCAGACCTCAAAACCTTGTAAAGCAAACACAGAGGGGAACTTTGTAATTTGAAAGCACGTGGCAGTACAGTATGCAGGCCTGGTTGTGATGCTACTGCTGTGCAAAAACCAAGGATCTCCTGGATGCAGCACCATAGGGATTCCAAGCAACAAAAAGGGACTATTTTACGACGTTCACTACTTATAACTACCAGTAAAAGTGGAAAATTAAATGATTGTATAGAACTTGCAAATTCTTAAACAAATCACTGTGTTTTTTCTAAGGATTTCACACAAATTTGTAACATTTATTGAATTAAGAATTGTGCCTTTGCAGCAACACAGAACTTTATACACAACTTCTTTATTTGAGAAGACACAACACAATCTGATAATATTTTCACACATATTTCTGTTTGACATTGAAGTCCACGAGTGCTGCCTGCAGTCTTATCTGTCAAATTATTATCACCAAATACTGTATTCCGAAGGTAGACACGAATAGATAAATGCTGCTCTATTTCAAAGCTTTATACAAACAACGCATACATATCAATGTGTTCTGTAATAAAGATATAAGCACTCACAGTATTTACTTATTTCTGATAATACACTGTACATTTTACAAGATTATACCGCCTCTGCATAAGCTGCACAGTAAAGGCCTTGCATGTTAAACCATGTCACAACCTTTAGCACCAGAACCAGTGAAGAATTGTGCAAAGTCTGCAAGCCTATAAAGCAAGATAATACAACTGATAGATGTCCATATGTAAACATTATTTGATATTTGTCAAAACATTCATGTGGATGGTCAGAGAAGAGCAACAATAATAGAAACTCATGTTGGGAGATTTAAACAAAGCTACATGAGGTCCATTATGTCAGCTCCTATGCTTCTATGAAGGGTTTTCCAAAACTCGTTTATTCAACTTTTCCAGTCTAAATGAAACCAAAAGTACATCATTCACCAGTAAATATGGACGCTGACACAGAGTCTGTCCAAAGTGTTGAAAAATAATTTATTTCTCAAGTGAAAATGCCAAAATAATCTCCAAGACTCTCTCCTCACTGCTTACTTAGGACTGAATGAAGTTTGGAAAAACCCTTCATCTGACGACAGTAAACTGTTCTCACTTTTAATTGGCTGACTCATCTTTGAAGCCGTTGTTTTAAACATACACACGCACACAGACACACAAAGCCACATAAACCTGTGACTGCTGACAGGTGATTCAATGCACTAACCACAAAGGACCATATAAAAGAGGCAGTGTAGTGTAGCCTATTGATTGGCCACTGAATCATTAATGTTTAACTTACATTAAGGCAATACTTTCACTAAAAAATGATTACTGTACTTTGGATTAACACATTTAAATATAGTGACAGGCACCATTGGTGTGCTTTCATTGTATGTCATACTCTAGTAATAATACAGTGGTCGCTCTGAGTGACAGTTTTGACCCTCAGATGATTGTCTATAGATTTTTTTTATACCTCTTATACTGTGGTTGTTATCTCTTTAATATCTGAAGGTGCATCACAAATCATTGAACACGGCCATTTTATGGCAATATTGGATTTTTATATGGCCCTTTCTGTTGATATGATGAGGTACTTTGATTTGATTTAGTGAGTTAGGTTTGCTGGAATTTCTTTTTCTTTTCAGAAATAAAGTCTGCATTCCTCTCTGGTTCTTTTATCCATTTACAATATCTCCATGTTTTTTTTTTTCTCCAGATATTTCATCATCATGTGGTCGTAGAAAACTGCAGATGCTATAAGAGAGGATGTTCAAAATGTGTAATATTAAATAAAGAGCCAGATTTTTGGAGTAAGATTAGTGTAAAAAAAAGACCTTGATAAAGTAATTTACTATAAGAATTCAGCATAGTCATCTTTTTATATTTCGAGGGTATTACGTAACCTATCTACGATATATATGCAAAGACAGCAATGGACGTAAATGGTGCCGTTTTACTTTTTCTTATGTTTAATTAAATTTTCTTGACACATGGCGCCCTTATATGACCATAAAAGCAAGTTATCAATAGGAAGTATTGGCACCATGTTTACATTGGAAAAATTGCAGTTTTGTCATCTAATTGGCCTATAGGTCAAAGATAATACAGCCAAACACAACATTATCTCTACAGCTGTGATTTTCAATGTTTTGTGTGACCTGCAAGTTTCCTGGATGAGAAAAAAAGCAAAGGTGAGAGTGAGACAGAAAAGCGAGAGAAAAAAAATTGCTGGAAAATAATAAATTCTGTCCTATCTTGTGACCCCAGATCTAATATTTGGACCCACTGGATGGGTCCAGAACCTTAAGTTGCTGCTCTGGAGTTAAAGGAGGAAATATGATTGTCTTTGTACTTTAGGTGCAAGGTTAAGCTTTGTTTTTTTTGTTTTTTTAAATCCCTGATATGATTGCTATCATTCTTCACACCTGCCTCTGCCTCATGGTCACACTCCATCATATGTAAGTAAAAAAAAAAAAAAAGGTAATAAAAAATACTATAATGAGACGTTCAGGGTCCGATTCTCATTCAGTATTTCATGTATTCGTTCTTCAGTCTACTCAGTCTCGTGCCGTGGCTGCGGATGATCAAAGACAGGAGCTCGTGCTTGTCCTTGAGTCCCAGAGAAATGTCCAAGGTGTCTTTCAGGACGTCCCGCGTGTGCACTATCATGTTGAGAAAGTCGTCGTTGAGCCGGTGCTCCTCTTTCAGCTCACTCTCCTGGCTCTGCTTGAATTTCACCTCGAGCTCCAGCAGAGACTTCTCCGAGTTTGTAAACGCCTCACTTATCTGCGCCGTCTCCCTCCGCAGATATTTCCCGTAGCTGTCCTCTCCGTCCAGGTCGTACGAGATGCTTTTCCCGATGCCCTCCAGCACCCTGGCCGAGTCCTCAATCTGCCTCTTGATGATAGTGAAATCATCCCGTATGACAGCGTCCTGGTCCTCAGGGAGTCCGCACTTTCTTTCATCGGTCATTTTAAAAAGCATTTGGCACTTCTCCGGGTCGTCGTTTTCCTCGTAGTCGCCGTCCGGCACGAAATAATGATGAAAAGTGCCATTGGACATCTCCGGTTGTAATGGTCCGTTGAAAAACGCTCCACACATCGGCAGTGATAACATCCCGGCGCACAGGAGCAAGTGAATAAAAGCCATGATGCGCCAAGAAATAAGAAATATCACAGAAGTCTGTATCAAAAAGTGTCAACCTGGAGAACTATTTAATTCCAACCCGGCGTAGAAACACAACCATGTCAGTCAGGTTTTGACGTCCAAACTGCGCAGTTAGTTCAGGCTTTGTAGCTTTTACTTCTCCTCAATACTCCCGATATTAAACAGACGCACTTTATCCACCCGGGTGATAAAAAAAACAAGGCTTGAAAAATGTCTTTAACAGCCTCACTTGTCTTCCTTTAATCGAGCCTGCCAGCTCCCATCACTGTCGAAGAGCAGGAAAGTGATGTATGAAAGTTTGTTTCAGCGTGGAAAACGGTTGTAGCCTTCACCCGACTTCACTTGGTGCCTCAAACGCAACATCTGGATGTCTCAAGTGCCGCGCTCTGGGTTTTTGGTTAATAATACCTCTCTGCTGACTCTCAAATTACAGCCCCTCCGTCACTTAAAAAGGCTGCATTCAGTCTGGGGCAGGCTACCAGCGGGGCCAGGCCAGGAAGGACTAAGTTTGTGTTAATTCACAGAACCGTGACAAGTTGGCTGAGGTGGTTAAAAGTTAGACGAGCCTACTGAGTAATACACAAGTGACCATATATGAAGGCCTACGTTTAGCCTATATAACTTCAGACGCAATAGAAAACGCAGCAGACATGTAGCCTAATTAGCCTACTTCTGTTAGGATAAACATTAATATCTGAAGAAGTCTGGCAGAGTGGATTCAACTGTAGCCAGACTTTATGTCTAGGATTATTTTGTATAGTGTTAGGCCTATATGATGAACGTTTCATATAGTTTTGCTCAATCAAGAATATGTTTCTAAGACAAATACAACTTTCCCAAGGAGAGAGAGAGAGAGAGAAAAGACTTGTGCTGGTGATGTAAGAAACTCAAAGATGAAACCTCACCATATTGGCAAATTTAAGTTATGACACAAAGAAAAATATAGTCTACAGAACAGGCTATATATAGAAAAAAAACCTCATTAAAATTGTGATAATAAGGGGAAGCTGGAGGCTGCATCAGCCACAGGCAACATCCACATAATGACCGTATAAATGCAGCTGTGATGATGACATACTGGAAAGAAAAAAAAAAAATACAAATAAAAGTAAATATGAAGTATTTATAACACAATTTATATGATGCAACTATTTGGCAAATGTCAGTCTATTGTTGAAGTGTGTTGTTGCTTAGTGCCATTGTTGTCCTGTTGCTTGTAACTGTCTGTGTTTATGTCTGTTTTTCTGAAGGCTGTTCTATAATTTACTGTTTTTGCATCGCTGAACTGTAATCAAGTCTGCTTTCTTGTCGCGTCTTTGTTCTGCATTCGTCAGCCTACGTTGTTCACATTTTAATTGGCTATGTTACATCATAACTATTGTTTAAAATGTGTTTCTTGATTTTAAATTGAGTTTATGCGGCCGACTCTACAGCTGCAGGGACTACTTATAGTCGGGCATATACAGCAAAGGTTAGTATATAATTCATACTAACCATTACATTATATATTTAGAAAGGTGATAAGAGTATACTGTGAACGTGTTGTATAGAGAAGCACTAATTAGACATGAACTCATACATTTTATTTGTTTCATTTTCCTGTGATAACGAGACATTTCTGGTTGTTGTTCTTTCTAGATCACAATTGCTTTATCCGATTCCCCAGAGTTTCAAAAACACAAAACAAACATATAAATAGTCCTAAATTACCTCGTTGAGCAATTTCAGTATGGCATGTCATCGTTTGGTCTGTGACAGTGATCATATTGGGTTTGTTTCACCAGAAAGTTTCCCCTTTATCACAAGAAAACGAGAGATAACGAGATAAATTAATTAATTATATGGTAAAATAAGCTTTTTTTTTCATCCTGGCATAACAAGAGAAATAAGTTGAGATCTTGAGAAAACAACTGAAATGAACTATTTTATCACAGGAAAACCAGCATCTTATTCTCTGGATAAGGAGTTGAATTAGTCGTGAATCGTGATCTTGAAAAAAAGAAACGATATTAGACGTTGTCACAGGAAAATGAGGGCTTTTATTCCTGCTGTTCCTGATAGAAACACATTTCTAGATTAATACTCAAAGCATCATCGGAAGTGCTTTAGGCAACTTTCAAATACGCATTCTTTACTGTTCCGTTCATTTCTTCTTTCCTATATTTTAAAGGCATTCAATGTAGCCTACTTTGATTCATTTATCATATCAGCAATGGTAACTACTCCACAGAAAGAGTTATGGACAAAACATACAAGCTCTCATACAACCACCCTACAGCACACTTTATAAATCAGTTGCCTGTGAAGGCATGGATATTAATTATTGGTATATAAAACGTGCCATTATTACTATGGGAGGAGTCATCCATGGTTCTGAGTACCATTAGTACATATTGCTGTCAACGTTTCTGTATATGCTTACATTATATTTGTGTAAAAAGTATTTGTGTATAAAGTAATATCACAATGTATTTAATACTTAAATAAATCAATAAATGAGTCAATCAAGTTTATTTGTCACTTCAAATCGTGTAAGTTACAATTGCAGAGTAATGTCTTCCACCTCTGCCTTACAGTGGTTCAAAAGTGCAGTAGGCTGCGACAATGAATTACTCTTAGAAATAACTGCTGTTTAAGTAGAGCTCACTCTCATTTTAAACCACTTATCCCGGCACTTTCTGCCTGCCAGCCGCTGAAACCTACCTAACACTAACATTTAACTTGGATTTAAAAGGCTTTAATTGATTTTTCATCTGCAATTGATCTTCTTGGTATTTAACATGATGACACTGTAAAAGTCATTATCTTATTCCACCAATGATGTTGTAAACCATATGTCTGGCTTGTGTGTTTGGCAGCACACACATAAACATGTTCACTGGGCTTCCTTTAGGTAACCACCTGTTTTTAAGTCGGCTGCTGGCATCAAATGACAAGTCCAGTTTAGTTCAAAGGAAACACAAATGAGGGTCATCTGTTCTAAGATGGGAGCCTTGTTGAAGCATGGACTTGTAATTTGTCTACATAACTACACTGCACTGATTATTACTGTACTTTCCGGTTGTTGTGAAATATCTTCCAGTGTGGAAACAGTATGCCAGCACTGTTTAATGTAGAAGACACATTTTGTTACCCTGATCCAAGAAATACCATTAAAGTGAAATGATAGTGATTTTTTTTCCAGTAAGCTTTAAGCAGCTGTCATGACAGTAATCCCGTGAGGAAAAAAAAAAAAAGTTGAGATCTCGAGATGAGATGTCTAACATGCTATGAGTGATCTAATTAGCTAAACCCACAATTCCACTCAACGTTTGCATATGTTTCCAGTGGAAAAAGAAGACGTAACACCGTCTTCTACCTCACAGGAATCCTGCTCTCATTTTTCCACCGCACGTGGTTTATTCCAGGCTGAGACATGCATGTGAGATTTTATCCACGGTGCCTTTAAAATGATGTGATTTATTCTCACTGTTTGAATCCATCTAGTTTTAAATCGTGCAACTATCACCCCAACGAAAAGTATCTTTTGCACCCCTCAGAATCGATAGGAGTTTTATAATGTATCCTCTTTTTTTTATTAAAGTTGATGGATCATTATGATGTTTTGAGTTCAAGTGTCTGTATACAAAATGTGTATTTTTTTCTCTCCTCTTAAATCTGTATAAATACACAAAAAGACATCTATCGAAATACATCTAAATACACAAAAAGACATCTATCAAAATACATATAAATACACAAAAAGACATCTATCAATGCATTTCTTTTTGAGAATTCATTTACTTATATATTGGAATTGCAGTATATAAATGAGTGTACTGCTAATAAAAAAATGTTTGTATCTCGGGACGTCAGGAGCATAGTGGTTAGTACGTGTGCCCCATGTGAAGAGGCTGTATTCTTCCAGGTGGGTGGCCCGGGTTCGAATCCGACCTATGGCTCCTTTCCCACATGTCATTCCCCACTCTCTCTCTCTCCCTGACTCTATCGACTGTCCTATCTCTAAATAAGGGAATAAAAAGCCCCAACAAACTTTTAAAAATAGTTTTGTATCTCTAATCATATTTACTATAAAACCCTTCAAATACACAAACAGAAAGGGAGTGAGTATGTTACATAAGCCTTACATAAACCAGGATCTGCAGAGTGCATCAGTCAGATTTATGACATGGAAAAATGCCTCACAGATCATCATGGTCTGAATCTCACTTCAAAAATAACAGTGAAAAACCAAAAGGACATCATTTTATAACTGCCACCAAGTCTCAGGTTCCCCCTCTCACAGCCTCCATCTGAAATGCGATGCATCGGCATGTGTTCAACTCTGCTTTTATTACAGACCTGCACTGCTAACCCCACTAAAAAAGAGAGGGACAGACTCCCAGAGAGTGTAGTGGCAGCCTGGAGAAGCAGACCTATACAGCTGTCCTGTGACATTTCTCTGCAGAGGGAATCTCGATGTGGTGTCAGACAAATAGAGGAAGTGGAAAATTAAGTCATGCTATGGCTTTAGGGTGTGTCGCTCTGTTTTGATTTGAAGTCTTTTGTGGCACATTTACATTAACACTAAATCATTTTGAGGAGGGGGAGGACTCCACCTACTCACATAGGACAGTCATAAAATTAAAACCCAGCAAGGAGAGGATGTTGGAGAACTCCCTCTTTTTCCTTCAAGTTGGAACACAAAATATCAAACACATATTTGCTTTGTGAGCTGCTTGGGCATGGATTTGTAGCTTCTCAGTGGGGATATTGGATAAAATATGAAGTTAACAATACCTTCCAACATTTAATGGCCTCATTTGTGTTCAATTGCTGCCAACTTTGAGATCAATTGACCAGGTTGGGATTAGATTCCAGTTCTGCAAACATTTGCTTCCAAAAACTGATTTTTTTCTCTAAATGATTCAGCCATCAGACACAAAAGGCACTTCAAGGGACCGCATGAAAGAGATGATTTATTTAGCATTTTTTGGGAACAGCTGAGCCCGACTCCTGCACTGAACTGTGTGATGTTATTGGAAACCTTGTTACTGGATTCATTTTTCTAAGGCAGGTGTTGTTTGTCACAAAGTAGAGCACAAAGGCAGAGAGGGTCAAATAAAAGTGAGGCGTATTCGGTTTTGTTCTGTTTGGTTTGAATGGGAGTCAGTGAAGGCAAACATGTTCAAATAGAGGCAGGAATGTGGTAACAATGGAGAGAGAGACAAACTAAACAAGCACATATAACAGGAAAAGATAGCTATGGAACAATGGTACTAAGCTGCTCATTTAAGCCATAATATGTGAACAACATAGGTCGATATTAATAGCTGCAGCAAGGACGCAGATACATAGCCTATGTAAAAATAACCATCAAGCCATAAGAATAATAATAATATAATAATAATAATAATACACTAAAAACTA